AAATGGAGAGACAGTACCTGATGTAAGAGTTATTGAAAAGATCTTGAGATCTTTAACAGACAAGTTTGAAAACATTGTATGTGCAATAGAAGAGTCGAAGGACCTTTCGACGCTCTCAATCGAAGAGCTCACTGGTTCGCTCGAAGCACATGAACAACGAAAGATGAAAAAGAAAGAAGAAGCAGACGAAGAAGCAAACCAAACCAAGGAATCGAACAAAGACAAAAAGGTACTCTTTTCAAACAACTTTCGAGGAAGAGGACGTGGACGTGGAGGTCGTGACAATGGTCGAAGTGGTAGAGGTAGCAACTTCGAAAGAGGACAATCGAGCCAACAAAATTGGCGTGGAAGAGGACGTGGTCAAAGAGGTGGTCGTTCGAATTATTCCAACTTCGAATGCTACAAGTGTGGGAAGTATGGTCATTATGCAAAGGATTGTAACTCCTACAAATGTTACAACTGTGACAAAGTGGGACATCTTGCAAAAGACTGTCGAATCGAAAAGAAGATTGAAGAAACAACCAACCTAGCCTTGGAAGCTGAATCGAATGAAGGCTTTCTCCTGATGGCTCAAAACGAAATCAACACTAATGACAGTGTTTGGTATCTTGACTCAGGAGCAAGTAATCACATGTGTGGTTACAAACACCTGTTTAAAGATATGAAGGGAATTGAAGATGGTAGTGTGTCTTTTGGAGATGCATCGAAAGTGAAGGTCGAAGGAAAGGGCACAATCAGTTACTTGCAGAAGGATGGCTTGATTGGATCAATCGAAGACGTTTACTATGTACCAGATCTCAAGACCAACATATTAAGTCTGGGACAACTTACAGAAAAAGGTGCTTCGATACTTATGAAAGATCGAACACTGCATTTGAAGGACAAAGCAGGACATCTGATTGCCAGTGTCGAAATGGAAAGAAATCGAATGTACAAACTGAACCTGAGGAACATTCGAGAGAAATATCTGCAAATCGAAGTGCAAGACAAAGCGTCACTATGGCACATGCGCTTTGGTCATCTACATCATGTTGGTTTGAGAAGGTTGGCAAAAAGGAACATGGTGCATGAACTACCAGACATGGATTTCGAAGGAAAATTCTGTGAAGAATGTGTGCTCAGCAAACAAACAAGAACCTCATTTTAAAAGAAGGCAGAGTATCAAGCTAAACATATACTCGAATTGATACATACTGACATATGTGGGCCAACCACTCCAGAATCCTTCAGTGGAAAAAGGTACTTCATTTCCTTCATTGATGACTTCTCAAGAAAAACCTGGGTCTACTTCCTGAAAGAAAAATCTGAAGCATTAGAAGTATTCAAAAAGTTCAAAGTAATGGTGGAGAAGGCAACAGACAGACACATCAAAGCAATTCGATATGACAGAGGAGGTGAGTATACTTCGATGGCCTTTGTGAAGTACTGTGAAGAACAGGGCATAAGGAGATTCCTAACTGCACCATATTCACCTCAGCAAAATGGTGTGGCTGAAAGGAAGAATCGAACTATTTTTGACATGGTTCGATCAATGCTCAAAAGCAAGAACATGTCGAAAGAATTCTGGGCAGAAGTAGTACAATGTGCTGTTTATATTCAGAATAGATTTCCACATTCTAAGTTAGAAGACAAAACACCACAAGAAGCATGGAGTGGACAGAAGCCAACAATTTCTCATCTCAAGGTATTTGGTAGCATAGCTTATGCACATGTACCAGATCAACGAAGAACAAAGCTTGAAGATAAAAGTCAGAAGTACATACTCATTGGATATGATGAGAAGACGAAAGGGTACAAGCTCTTCAATCCCATAAGCAAGAAAGTGATCGTGAGCAGATACGTTCGAATGAACGAAGCAAGCAAGTGGGACTGGAACAATTCGATAGAGGTTGTTGACACAATCGAAGAAACAACTATAGCTATACCAACAAGTATTCCAGAAGAACATGAAGAAACAGAAGATGGAGATGAACCTTTACAACCCAAAATGAGAAGTTTGCAAGATTTGTATGATTCAACAAGTGAGGTGCATCTTGTGTGTCTTCTGGCAGATGCTGAAAACATCAGTGTCGAAGAAGCGTTAAGAGATAAGAAGTGGAAAAGTGCCATGGACGAAGAGATTAGAGCAATCGAACGCAACAATACTTGGGAGCTAGTCGAATTACCAAAAGGAAGTCAACCCATTGGTGTAAAGTGGGTATTCAAGAAAAAGATGAATGCTCAAGGAGAAATCGAAAGATTCAAAGCACGGCTGGTTGCGAAGGGATACAAACAGAAAGCAGGAATTGACTATGACGAAGTGTTTGCGCCTGTTGCAAGAATGGAGACAATTCGATTACTCATTTCTCAAGCTGCTCAGTTCAAATGGCCAATATTTCAAATGGATGTCAAGACAGCGTTTTTGAATGGTGTGCTCGAAGAAGAAATCTATGTCGAACAGCCACTTGGATATATGAGAACTGGAGAAGAGAAGAAAGTGTTGAAACTGAAGAAATCACTGTATGGGCTGAAGCAAGCACCTAGGGCATGGAACACACGTATTGACACATATTTCAAGGAGAATGGGTTCGAGCAATGTCCTTATGAACCATCCCTCTATGTGAAGAAAAATGGAAGTGATTTATTACTTGTTGCTCTCTATGTTGATGATCTTATCTTTCTAGGCAGTGATGTTCAGATGATCGAAGATTTCAAGAGCACCATGACAAGTGAATTCGAAATGACAGACTTAGGTCTGATGAGATTCTTTCTTGGTCTGGAGGTTCGACAAGAAGAAGCTGGAATTTTCATCTCACAAGAAAAGTATGCAAAGGAAATCTTAGAAAAATATAAAATGAAGAATTGCAATCCAACTTCGACGCCAATGGAACCAGGTACAAAACTGTCAAAGTTTGATGGAGGAGAACGGGTCGAAGGAAGCAAATATCGAAGCTTGGTAGGTAGCCTTCGATATCTCACATGCACAAGGCCAGACATTTCACTAAGTGTTGGCATAGTGAGTCGATTCATGGAGGAACCAGTACACACACATTGGAAGGCGCTGAAACGAATTCTAAGATACATCCAAGGAACAGTATCACTTGGAATGTTTTATTCAAAGACAAAAGACTACAAGTTAGTTGGATATTCTGACAGTGACTGGTGTGGAGACATAGACGATCGAAAGAGCACCTCTGGATATGTGTTTTTCATGGGAAATACAACTTTTACTTGGCTATCGAAAAAGCAACCTATAGTGACACTTTCGACGTGTGAAGCAGAATATGTGGCAGCATCCTGGTGCGTCTGTCATGCAGTATGACTCAGAAGGTTGATAAGCAAGATGGAGCTGAAACAGGAAGATCCAACAATAATACAAGTGGACAATAAATCAGCTATCGAATTAGCAAAGAATCCAGTGAATCATGAACGAAGCAAACACATTGATGTTCGATTTCACTTCATTCGTGAACATGTGAAGGAGGGAAGTGTCGAATTGAGGCATGTAGGAAGCAGAAACCAAACAGCGGATATGTTTATAAAACCACTATCGAAAGAGGTCTTCGACAGAGGCAAGAAGATGATAGGAATGCTGGATGGAAGAAACATTTAAGTTTACAGAGGAGTTTTGTTGAATAAACATTAAATGTGTTAGTAATAAGTTTTACATTAAATATGGTAGTAGGAAGGACAATAGTTTGATAAGTTATGATAATTATTAGTAGCAGTTATGTTTTAGTTTATGTTTAGAATTGTAAAAGTTGTTTGGGTCTATAAAAGACCAAGTGTGTAATTTATTTGACAAGAATAATATACAAGTTTATACAGAAGCATGATTCGATTCATAACAATAAGAATCAATTGTTAGTAAATGGTTAAATACATGAGCCAACTTAATATTTATTTAGAATAAAAACCTTTTTAAATATTTATGCTCAGAGACTAATTCAAAAACGTCATACTAGATAAACAAATCCAACAACAACAAAGTAGAACCCACCAACTACAAGCACAAAGCAACCTTAGGGACGGACAGTACTTTCAATCTGATCTAAACAACTAAATAATCAAGTGCATGAAAGTTGAAAAACTTACTATAAACCATTTAATTTCTAATATATTATGCTATATAATATTTTGACACATGGCTACATATAACATATTTACAACCATTGACAACATTGAGAGTTAAGATTATCTAAGTCACCATAAGACTTGAGATAGATTTAGAGAAAAGTGATAAAAGTCTACGTGAAGAAACGGAATTATGGTTGGCTGAAAAATATTCACTTCAATTTAATTATTTTTCTTATATATAGTTTTCTAGTATTTATTATTATTATTATTATTTCTTTATCTACACTCCAATGTGACATTAAACCTAAATTCTTACTCTTACTAAGTTGCCCCAATCCCACTCAACTTTCCATAGTATTTTAATTTCTTAATTTGCAATTTCAAACCTAAATTATTTAAAAATTCATTACTTAGAGCTACCTTTAGTAAGAGTAAAAGAGACAAAATCAAAATTTTCAACAAAAAAGAACAAAAACATATGCATTTATTCTTCCACAAGTTTTTCATACCAGTATACAAAGCAAAACTAAACTTGAGATCAAAGCAATATAATTTTTTATTCTCATTTATTCACTATACAACCAACCCAACATCTCTCATAGTTAATCGCATTCTCTATTTAGATTTTTATAGTTGGTACCTCTCTTTTCTTTTTCTTGTTAAGTGCAAAAGAGAGGTGCAAAAGTGAGGGAGAATTTAATTCCTTCTCACACCTCAACAAGTAGTTGCATGAGAGGAGCATTCATCTTTATAGAAGAGACAAGTTTTCCATTTCTCTATCCTTTTTATTAATTATTACTACTTTAGTTTAAACCGTTCTCTCTCTTTTAGTTCTTGTTCCATTAATTTTTTTGTTATATATAGCAAAAGAAGAGGAAACAAGAAAAAAGAAAATTTCCATATATGGTATGATTGAGGAAGAAAAAGAAGAAAAATAAATAAATATGACTCATTGCAATGAGGTTCAAAATAATCATAGCATCACAGTTGATGGAAGAAAGGATAGCTTAATTAGAACTTGTCTCACATGTGGTCATCATATCAAATGCCAAGATCAGGTTCTTATAAATATATTTTGTCTATAAATATTTATTATTATTTTTTAATTAAATATATTTTTTAGTTCCTATAAATGGTATAATGAATAAATATATTAATAATTAGGGTGGTGGAATTAATGACCTACCTGGATTACCTGCTGGAGTGAAGTTTGATCCAACAGATCAAGAGATTCTTGAACATTTGGAAGCAAAAGTGAGGTCTGATATTCATAAACTTCATCCTTTAATTGATGAATTCATACCTACTCTTGAAGGAGAGAATGGAATTTGCTATACTCATCCTGAGAAATTACCAGGTTTAATATTAATTACAATACGATCCTCTCAACTAAATTTCTTTGTTAATTATATAATGTGTGTGATGAGTTTTATAACTTCAGATAAGTTACATTTATTTTTATTTAATAATATCATCAGAATGGTTTACCTTTAAGACTTTAGGCTTCAGCAACGTGAAAAAAAGAAGATAGTAGTAGTTTTCTTGAAGCAATAATAATAAATAATAGGAGAGATGTTGTATTTTGTGGTCATGAATAAGTAGACTCTTTAATTATGATAAGCATCTAAAATTGCATTAAATTTCAGGTGTAAGCAAAGATGGCCTAATCCGCCATTTCTTCCACCGACCATCGAAGGCATACACAACAGGAACAAGAAAAAGAAGAAAAGTACATTCAGATCATGAAGATGGAAGTGAAACCCGGTGGCACAAAACAGGCAAAACAAGACCAATTTACAACAATTCCAAGTTAAAAGGATACAAAAAAATCCTCGTACTTTACACTAACTATGGAAAGCAAAGAAAACCCGAGAAAACAAGTTGGGTAATGCATCAATACCATCTTGGTAATGATGAAGAAGAGAAAGAAGGAGAGTTAGTTGTGTCCAAAGTTTTCTATCAAACTCAACCAAGACAATGTGGTGGCAACTCATTGATGATGAAAGACTCTCTTGTTGGACAAAGTTTGAAGGGTCAAAGTGGGAATAATATTGAGGTAATGAATGGTGAAAAGAGTATTAATGGATCGTTTGTTGAGTATTATCATTCAAATTTCATATCATTTGATCAAGGGAGTCAACATAGATCATCTAGTAATGCTCAATTGATTTCACATTTTGAAGGTGCTCCTATATGAATTTGAAAAGGAGATGGACAAAATACATATTAATATTGAGGCATTATATTTATAGTTATATATAAATATTATGCAAAAATATTCAAAATAAGTTAATAAATATATACTTTAGTTAGGAGATAATAAATTGCTTCATTTGAGACCTATATATACTTTTGTTAGGATCAAGTAAGAAAGAGTTTGGTGAAGTGAAGTGGAACACTTTTATTGTAAAGTTATTCTTCACTAAAATATTAATTTTAGTAGTTTTAAAGACATCATCTTCATGTTTATGCTTGGTAAATACTAACTTATCCAATAGGTTTTACTTTAAAAATATTATTTCTCATAACAAATAAGAGTTTCGACGTAGATCTTAAATGTGTATGAGTATGTGTTAGTGCACAAGAATCAATGATGAACAAACAAATAAATTTAAGAGAGTAAAGAGAATGACAGCTGTAAAAGCTGTAAGAGGAATAAATATTATTATTATTATTGTATTTATGATATTTACAACTAGTCTATTTATACACAAAAGAGAATGTCACATAGACCCTAATAGAATAGACTTAACAACTAAGTTATCTAAAACAATTAGAAATACTAAAATACCCGTTAATACCATCCCTTAATTTAAAATTTCTAATTAAAATTAACTACACTAATTTCATCCCTTAAGCGAAGAAATTGATTCGTCTTGATTGCCTTTGTCATGATATCTGCCAGCTGCTTCTGGATGTTACAGTGCATAATTTCTAGTACTCCGTTCTGAACTTGACTTATGAGAAAATGATACTTTGTCTCAATATGCTTGCTTCTCCCATGTAGTACCGAGTTCTTGGCAATATTGATTGCAGACTTGTTATCAATCATCAGCTTCAGAGGCTTATCTACGTTGATCTTCAGATCCTGCAGTAAATTCAGAAGCCACACAACTTGACATGCAACTATAACACCTGCAATATACTCAGTTTCACACGTTGATAGAGCAACAATGAATTTCTTCTTGGAACACTAAGAAATAAGACCTCCTAGAAACTTAAACAAGTATTCAGAAGTATTTCTTCTATCAACTTTATCTCCACGCCAATTAGAATCAAAATAACTCATCAACTCTGGATATGTTTTTTCTTCCAGAAGGGAATAGTACTCCAAACTTCAGAGTTCCCTTGATATACCTCAGAATCCTGACAGCAGCTTGGTAATGGAACCACTTAGGTTATTCATGAACCTACTAACTAATCCAACCGCATAACAAATGTCAGGTCTGGTATTACACATTTACCTCATAGAACCTACCAACTATTTGAACATTGTAACATCTACGTCTTCACCCTCAGAGTCAGAATCTAATTTATGATTGGTTTCTGGCAGTGTAACAACGACCTTATAATTCTCCAACTTGAATTTCTTTTGAAGCTCAAGTTCATTTTTCAACTGATGCAAAATTATACCTTGTTTAGAATACAATATCTCCATCCCTAGAAAATAAACCAACTTTCCTAGGTAAATCATCTCAAATTCATTCATCAAAGTCTTCTTGAACTTGACAACTTCTTCAAAACAACTCCCTGTCAGCAATATGTCATCAACATAAAGACATGCTAGAATCATATTACATTCAGAATGCTGAACATACACGCCATACTCCATCTCACACTTCTGAAAACCTTATTTCTTGAAAAATAAATCAATCTTCAAATTCCAAGCTATGAGCACTTGCTTCAATCCATACAGAGCTTTATGTAATTTGTACATCATGCCTTCCTGATTCTTTTTCATAAATCCAAGAGGTTGTGATACATATACCTCTTCTTGTAATGGACCGTTCAGAAATTCAGACTTCACATCCAGATGCAACAGAGGTCAATTTCTATTTATAGCTAAAGCAATCACCAATCTGATTATTTCATGTCAAGCTACAGGAAAAACACCTCAATGTAACCTAGCCCAGGTTTCTAAAGAAAACCTCTAGCTACTAGCCTTGCTTTGTGCTTGCCAATTGATCCATCTGGCTTAAGCTTCACCTTGAAAACCCATCTGACGCTGATGGATTTCTTCTTATCTGGAAGTTTAGTCAACTTCCAAGTCTTGTTTCTTTCTATAGCCTCAAGTTCTTCTTTCATGGCATTCAACCATACTTTATTCTTGAGAGCTTCTTTAATACTTACAGGTTCAGAGTCTACTAACATGGCACACTGAACAATTTCTCCTTCTAAATCTACTTCAATATTTTGCAGCATGTTAAACTCTCCAAACCTTCTTGGTATTTGTATGATTCTTTGTGGCCTCTGAACTTGTTCAAAAACTCTTTCTAATTCTGGAACAATATCAGATACTTGACCACCATCAGAAGTTCCACCTTTTAAATTTCCTTCAGAACCTCTACCTTCTGAAGTTCCACCTTCAGAATCATGACCTTCACCAGAAACATGATCATCTTCAGAAGCTTGTCCTCCAAAACTTACATCTTCAGATTTTCCCTTCCAGAAGCATAACCACCACCCGATTTTGGATCATCATCAAAATCTGGATCAAAATCAGATTCACCATCTGACTTATCTTCAGAGTTTCCAGCATCATCATCTAACTCTGACTCTTCTTCAGAACTATCAAGTTCTGACTTATCTTCAGAAATAGATTGAGACTTACTCCAATCCCATACTTATGATTCTTTTACAATGACGTCTCTACTGACTTCAACTTTATTAGTTTCTGGACAATAAATCTTGTATGCACCTTGTGATCGGTGGATCTGGAACTGACTGTTTTTTAGCTGGTTTCGCGAAATGTCGCGGTAAGCAAGAGTCGCCACCGTCTTTTATTTTCTCCAACATGGAAAGGACAAAAGCACAGAAAAATTCCTTATTGAGATTAGCTCTCGGTTCGGGAGGTAGATTTATAGAAAGGGAAGGTGTTAGCACCCTTTCTATCCATGGTTATCCATGGGCTCTTAGATACTTGCTCATTGTGTTTTCAAAATGTTTTTTTGCTTTTCAAGTGTGAGTGGGTTTGAAAAAAGTTTCTTTGAAAGTTTCAGATCGACTCTTGTATCAGTCCTCAAGAGTGTTTGAAAAGTTGTTTTGAAAGCTTTTTGAAAAGTGTAAGGTGTGAAAAGTATTTTGATTGTTTTTGAAAAGAGCAACTATCTATGAGAATCTACCTACCCTAAGGAATTCGTCTGTGTAAATGTCCTTTAAAGTAGTGCCATCCCACCATTGAGAGGTAGGTAGCACCACCGTTGGAGGTGTTCGGGTCAATTCGAGGTTCGGGACATGATGATCACCAGAGCAATGGGAAGACACCTTAGAAGCTACCCTCATGCCAGGTTCCCGGATCATGAGGACTTACTAAAACATCCTCTACTCGACGATCACCTTTCGAGGCAAGGCAACAGTGAGGCGTACCCTAGGGGTGGTGTGTGATTTGTGTGTCATTTTCAGTTTATTGTTTGTCTTGTCATGTATTGGTGATCTACGTTTTGATTTTATTTTTGGGCATTCATTCTTTCATGTTATTGTTTAACAGTTAAAAGTGCGGGAATTTAAAGTGCGGAAAAAATAAAGGTCCTACGCTATTACAAAGGCGCGGGTCTACAACGCCGAATTAATTCAGACCCGATTTAAAATAAATTGCAGAAAATAAATGCCTAATTAACTATTACAGGGCTTTGGAGCAAGTACATTATATTTACAACATAAATAAATAAAACGCGCGAAAAAAGGAAAATATGATCGAATGCGAGGGCGTTGGACCCTTTAAGGAATTAAAATAAAACTATTAAAATAATTAAATTAAATAAAAGAAATGACTTATTTTTTATGTTTTTGTATTTATGACATTAAAGAAAAAAATTAAATTAATTAAAAGTCAAATAATTAATTCTAATTCTAAATGTTTTTAATTTATTAAAGAAAATGCATTAAAGTTAAAACCTAGAATTAAAACTAAATTAATTATGAAATTTATTTACAAAATTAATGGTTGATGATAAAATATTTAATTAATTAAAAAAAAGGTAAAAGAGTGTTAAAGATCTATTTTTTATTATTTTTGGTTTATTGAGAAAAAGAATTAAATTACAACCTAAAATTAAAACTAAATCAATTGTGGGATTTATTTACAAAATACTAAAATAAAAATATTTATTATTTTTTATCTTTTTCTGATTTTTTTGTGTTTTTTTTATATATTATGAAAATATTAAGTTAATTAATAAAACAATAATTAAAAGAAAGTGAAAATAATGAAAAATAAAAAAATAGAAAAGATTTGCAAACCTAAGGGGGGTATCAATCCCCAGATAGGAGGTGTAGCCCATGAATTTGAGCCCAATGACCTTCAGGTCCATTGACTTTTCCAGACACCATGTGGCACCTTTGACCAGGGTCTACCATATGCCTTAAATCTGAGCCTTTAGATTGATGTAACCAACGCGTGGATGACTGGATCTTGGGAGTGTATGGTGTTCCTCTAGGCTGAAATTGCATGAGAATATTGAATGGAAAATAATATGAAGGGAAGTGAGGACCTGGGGCTCGAACCCAGGTCCTGGACATTACCAATAGTAAGCCTTGCCAGTTGATCCACGCGTGTTTCTTGTATATCCTATAATAAACAAACATTATAATGCAAGACAATTCCTTAATGCCCTCAGCGCGCGAATTTTTGAACTGGCCTATCACCGTTCGCCACGGTATCATCTTCTTCATTGGTTTTTTATTTTCCTGAAATATATAAGCAAAGAGCAACGGTTTTCAAACGTTGCTGAAAGTAAGATATGAGAAAATAGTGAATGGCCCTCTGACGCTCATAAATTGAGCGCGAGGGTGGGTTCAAGATCGTCCAAGCGCGCTGATTTGAGTGATGGTGGTCATGAGTCTCAATTTTTCCTTGGGTGAAAAGCCCTAATTCAAGGTCCTGGAAACCCTAAAACATGAACATGGTATCTTTGCACATAACGCATAAAAGTACAATCAAAGCATATGGTTAGCTTGCAAATACTTCACTGATCATGA